ATCACCCTACTTATTCGTGATTGTGATGGAGAAGCTGGCTCATCTAATTCAGAATGAAGTTGCAGAACACCACTGGCTTCCTTTCCGTCTTAGAAAGAAGGGCACAGCAGTGTCTCACTTGTTTTTTGCAGATGACCTTTTTTTGTTTGCTGAAGCTAGTATGGATCAAGCAGGTCTGATCAGAGCTTGCCTTGATGACTTTTGTGCGGTTTCAGGGGAGAAGGTAAACAACGCAAAATCCCGTGTGTTCTTTTCGGGCAACGTTAATCATAATAGAGTACATGAGATTAGCAGTTTCTTGGGCTTTACTCCTACGTCTGATATGGGGAAATATTTAGGAGTTCCGATCCACCACCAAAGGGTCTCAAAACGAACCTATCAATTTATCCTCGACAAAATGGATGCGAGGCTCTCTAACTGGAAGGCAAAGTCTCTTTCTATGGCTGCACGATGCACTCTAGCCTCGTCTGTCCTATCTACTATTCCATCTTACAGCATGCAGTCGGCTTCCCTCCCCACGAAAGTGTGCATGCAAATAGATCAAAAGTGTCGTAACTTCATCTGGGGGAGCGGGGAAGAGAAGAGGAAGGTACATCTAGTGTCTTGGGAGAAGGTTTGTAAACCAAAGGATGAAGGCGGACTGGGTCTCAGGCAGGCCAAGTTACAAAATAACGTTTTTATGATGAAGCTAGGCTGGTCTCTCATTAGAAGAAGGGACGCTCCTTGGGTTCAATTTATGCGAGAGAAGTATTGCTGTGGAAAGGACCTGTTGCCGAAAATCGACAAAGGCAGGAAGGGGTCTAGGGCGTGGCAGGGCATTAAGAGCAACTGGGACTTACTTCGAGCAAGCTTGCATTGGAAGGTAGGGGACGGGAAACAAACGTATTTCTGGTACGACAATTGGCTGCCAAATCACGATAATCTGCTCAAGATGGCTACCCAACCAGTGCCCCACGATTTGATTGACCTGAAAGTGGCTGATATGATTACCGGAACAGGAGATTGGTTGACGACCCTCTTCAAGGATTTCCTACCGGATCGGATTACCCGAGAAATTGCTGATTTTCGGTTGAACCCATCACGAGAAGACGCGGTAACATGGAGATGGTCTCCGTCGGGGTCGTTCACAACTAAGTCAGCTTATATGAGTCTTAACAGCACGGAAGGTAACTCTAGGAAATACTTGTGGCGAAGTATCTGGAAATTGAACCTACCCCAAAGATGCAAGACCTTATTATGGCTGGCTGGGCAGGATCGTTTGTTTACTAATGATGCTCGCCACCGTCGAGGTTTGGCTTTGTCAGCAAGATGTAGCATTTGCATGCATGAATGTGAAAACTCTTTACACACTCTACGTGATTGTTTTGTTGCGTCTGAAGTCTGGCAGAAGGCCCTCCCGAGGCATTTGCATGTTTCTTTCTTCGCAAAGCAGGACGTTAGTTCATGGATCCGCTGGAATGTGAGACAGCAGTTCCAGGTGCAACAGGTGCCATGGAAAATCGTGTTTGGACTGGTTAGTAGACAAATCTGGTTAGCTAGGAATGAGCATGTGTTTGAACAAGGACGGGTGAACGCGACCACGGTTATCAGCAAGGCGTTGGCATGCTCAAAATGGGTCAGCGTTAGCAAGCGAGCCACCCAATCTGGTGGGGTGCGCTACCAGAGGTGGGTGCCGCCAATGGAAGGAGCAGTAAAAATTAATGTGGACGGCGCTGCGTCCACGGCAAGTGGAATGTCCGCTTGTGGAGGACTGATGCGAGATTGGAAGGGAGTATTTACGGGAGGCTTTATGTTTAATATCGGGCCGGGGAACGCCTCTCGAGCAGAAGCTTGGGGAGTGTTGATGGGCATGAAATACGCTTGGGACAGTGGGCACCGGCACGTTATAGTCGAATCAGATTGTCGAGACCTGCTAGATGCTATCACGTTGGGCACAGCCGAGGACCGAGATGACGAGGATCTTGTGCATGAAATCGTAGCGATGCAACGTAGGGATTGGAGTGTACTATTTAGCTGGGTTTGTCGTGACACGAATGAAGCTGCTGATATCCTCGCGAAGGAAGCACTAAAATGTGTGCCTGGCTTATTCTGCTTTTCTGATATGCCGAATTGTGTGAGAGAGAAAGTTAGAGGTGAAGCTATGATGAGTAGTCATTGATAGGACGGCCTGGTTTATGTATTACATCAAAAAAAAAAAAGAACTATGGAGGTTATTTAACCTGCTTTATATAATTTTAAAAACCCAAACAAATCACATTGTTTTCTGGAGAGGATGTTCTCCAAATGCAAATTGAGAGAGAAGGTGAGCATTTAAGTTTATGTGCAAGCATCAACAATGCAATACGACTCATCCTTCAAATTTCATATAACACATAAAACTTTAATTCCTAAATTAAGAAAAAAAAAGAAAGATGAATTTGATGTTATATAAGATTCAAGAAGCATTTTTAGAAACCCTAAAACATTGACGCACAAAGTCTTCACATGCTCATAATCTATCTAGTATAACACTAATATAAAAAATTCAACAAGTAACATTATTATAATTGGATAAATAATACTCCTCCGGTATTAAATATAAGACCTTTATAGTAAAATTTATTTTTAGACTGATATGGGTAACACACCGGATTGGGTGAGGCTATTGTTTTCCCCAAAAAGTCACCATCACATGCAAATTGTATAAAAAGAACAGATAATTAAGAAAAATTGAGAGTTGAGAAAGAGGGCGTCGAATTAGGTGAATGCCTTTCTTGACTTTGACAAATTGATAAAAATAAGAGAATGATAGCAGCACATTCAAAAAGCCAAGGGCAAATATATGCGTTATTTATCAGCCCACATCACCCATTATGTCACCATCCATTATCTTTATTTACATCAATTTCTCCTCACTTTTGCGTCACTCCTTTTTGAATTATTTTCATATTATATTATTTAAATGATTTCTAAATAAATTCATATAATTAAGATAGTATGAATTCGTCTTCGGTCTTTTGCAACTATTAAATGTTTGAATAATGACATGAGCATGATAAACTTCTATATAATATAACTATGCACTATCTTAGTTTTTTTTTTTTATATCATACATTCGGTATTTAATATAAAAACCAGATAATTAATTTATAAATATTTAAAAAATTATTGATTTAATTATTTGTAATAAATGGATGTTATTTTTTTAAAAAAATACTTTTATTAACATGTGCATTTGAGTTACGTCTCCATAGCATCTTCTTAACATATACAATCGCTATAAGAATTATATAAAGGCAAAAATTAATAAATACTAGATGCAAAATGAATTGAAATTTTATATGCAGAACCAAACTAAATTTCTAACTAAACCATGTTGAAGCTAGTATTCTTTTATGTAAGTTATTTACATCAATGACATAAATCAAATCCTTATAAATTAAACAAACTTTCGTGAATTTTGGCATTTTTCCTTAGAGAGAAAAAATAAACTGGAAATTGTTATGAGATTTGGAGTAGAGTTTGCGCTGGGACGTTTGTGAAATCATTGTTTATTGGATATTTGTCCAACATTTAAGAGAATCTTAATATGTATGGCACGAACTTAATCCCAAAAAAAAAAAGGAAAAAAGATAAAGGAAAAGTGAAAATTTGGTTAAAAGTTCTAATTAAAAACTTAACTGCTTAAAAAAAATATAAATTTGAACAAATACAACTATGACATGTTAGTGTAATTTTTTTTACTATGTGTAACGTATTATTAATGATATGTAACAATTATTAATATGAAAATTATTAGATACGTTATATATATAATAGTAAAAAAATATTCTTACTAATACTAATTGTATGCACTGAAATTTATATTTTTTTAGTGAATTGTCCAATTTTTTGGAGAAAAATGTGTCGCACTACGAACAAATGACTGAATGCGATGTTACGTTCCAGATGAGGACAAGTTACGCTGTTTTTTGTGAGAGACTTGACTGGCAGCGTCAAATAACCATTAATGTACTCACACATCTCTTGTACACAAGTAATGACGTGTTCTCAATTAATGCTGACAATAATGAAACCCCGTATCATTTCCTCATTCATTTATAAAATTATGTATAATACGTTTAATATTTTAAATTAGAAATAAAATTATGGTGTTAGATGAAACTCAAATAAAATTAAATACACTGAAAATAATATCAAATCATAAATAAAATTAGGATAGTGCATGTTATTAGAAAATAATATGGTCAGAATACCTGTTTCCTTAAACAATATTTTATAAGACTTGCAAAGTCCATAGAATGTCTGTCTTTTGAGAGGTTGAACACAGCTGATTTACTATTTTTTTGACTTCGTACTGCTTATGATAATACTTGTGACTTTTGTGCAATGAATTTTCTGGGTTGGTGTATTACGTGAAGAAAATTAGATAGAAGAACAATACAGTGGGAGATTTTTCAACAATGAAGCTAATAATGTCAAATACCAGCTTTTCCACCAAGTACACCAACACCGAACTCAGTTTTGTTTGCTCTGAAAGGACCAAGAATATAAAAGAAATTTATAAATAATATTCATACTGTTTAAAAAATGATATAAAAATTTAAAAATAATATGATAAAAAATCATATATATTTTTTGAAAACTTAAAATGAATTTTTTAATAAGAGGAGAAGGAAGGCGAAGAAGATTTCCACTTCTGTTTTGGGCCCACTCAGATGATATGGGTTTATAATCTCAAGATGGCCCAGGGACATTTTGCCAGAAATTGGGCGATACCTTAATACAAACTTTCTTTGACTAAAACTAGGGCCCTATAGAAATGGACAAAGTTGAAACTCCCACCCGAATGGTTCACACAACAATAAATTGGACCATTCATATTAAATTTGGACGGATCAAATTTCAGTGTGAAACCCCTTCTGTAGGTGTGGAGGGTTCACGTGTTTCTTCCTTCGTATAAATGAGTGTAGATATGGGTGGGTGTATGTGGTTGTAATTGAAACCTTATACAAAAAATATTGACATCAAATCAGATTATAGATCAGAAGTTCTCAACCAACTGTTTTTTCTGCATCAGCTTAATCTGAGTAAAGAGAGAAAACCGAGAGAGAGAGAGAGAGAGTTATGAAAAGATCACTCAAAACAAATGTTATTTTGAACAAATGACTAAGAAGCTAAACCAGTTTCAAGAATGCTTTCACAGGGGTCTTCACACTGAGGGTAACTTTTTCTGAAGTAAACTTGTCCAAAGGCATTTACATAAAGCAGAAAACACCAGTTTCCCCAAGATTAAGCAATGAAGTTCCCAATAAAATTTGTATTTGACAATCACAAATAGGAAAACTATTCAGTTATGGTATGCCTATAATGAAGTCCTCATTGTTGTATAAACATAACAATATGTTGCACCGCCGTGCTTCAGACATTCAACCGGAAAAGAACCTTTTCCAAGACTGCCAAGGAAGAAATCCACCTGAAATACATTGTATATGAATGATTATACGCTAAACAATTTAATTACTGAGAAATAAATACCAGGAAATTCGTGCATGAAACGAAGCATAGACAGGCAGAGAAGATTATCAATACAACGCATGCCAAGATCATAATAACAAAACCCTGTAAATTGCATTATGTTTTTGAAATTAAGTGTTATCTTCTCGCTGGATTCATCATTCATAGGTTTGAAATAGAGTTAATTAGTACAACAGCAATTGCGCTGCTAGAATTACTAAACCGATAGCAGAATTAACCATTGTATTGTTATTTGTTGCATCCAAAGCAAATGCGTGGCCTCTTCAACTAGAAGAACAATGGGATTCATGGCTATTTTTCTTCAAGTTGCATGATGGTCGTGATTAAGAAGCTGTGATAAAATGATGCATTTATCTTGGTAAATGGTTTAGATGCGTGGTTGCAGTTAAAATCCAAAAGAATAGAAAAGTTAAAAATGGAAGAAAGAAAGAAGTTTAACTCAATCAACTACTATGCAGAAGAAGAACATGCAATCCTACCACATTCTGGGCAACGGAAATACTCCTTTTCCCTGAGAACCAACCCTGAACCTCCACACTCCTCACATCTTTTCTGAGCTATCTGTCAAACAATGCAATTAATCACATCACTGTGAGAATAAGATTCACAACTTATGAATTAGTTGAGAAAAATTCTTAGACGGGGACCGATCCACGGAGGATAGGTATCGAGCCAATATTAAATAAAGAAACAAGCTTACTCAATTATCTGTAAAATACTCGGTTGTCATATTTTTGTTAAACAATGTGATAATCAATTCCTACAATTTGTTATCAGGATCGTATTGGCTTCTCAAGTATGATCTCCAGTCAGAATCTACTAAAGAATCTGTCAATAAGCGAAGGCCCAACAAAGCAAGAGCAAGAGTCACTTACAATTCTTTTGCTAAATTCAACTCCTGCCACCACAAAAGGCGTAACTCCAGCTACAAAAACAAAAAGAAAATATCATTACCAACAGAGCTCAATTTATCAAACCACACTATTAACAAAATCGAACGCGCCTATTTCTTCCAAGACAACGAAACAGCACCCCATTAAGGTTTAATCTTAGCTTATAATTGGAGGGAATAGAAATGCTTGTGAAGATTAGGGATTATCCCAAAAACAATACCTATAGTTCCGACCACAATTTGCCACGTGACTTGCACTGGAGCTGGGTCAATCAAAGTTTGTACATCGTTGATAGCGGCTCTGATCCTGGTCCTTCTGGCTGTTCTTCCATTCTGAACCGATGTGTTTTTGCAACTGCTCCTTAGAGGAAAATGAACCGTTGCTTTTGATTCGCGACAATACACTCTGCTCGGGGTTTTGGGAATCGTTGTGGAAAGCACAAACGAAGATGAAGAGACGGAAGCTTCCATGGCAGTATCCCGGCCCGGCCATCGAGTCACCGGTTCACAAGCCTGTATGCTGCCCGGTGGGCCCAGGGCTCGTGGCTTCGCGCCATCCGCTCGTAACTTCCGTGGACCGTGTTCAAGCGATGCTCTCCCTGTCCGAAACTACGTCGTATCAGTGGCTTTTCTCCTCTGGGATTTCTGACACGGAGGAAAATGTGTCTTATTTTTAATGATGCCGTTATGAATGTGTTCAGATACGCTTTCCCGTGCGCGCGCATATGTACGTAAATATTACCTCCGATCCTAATTATAAGAGCCAATTAATTAATTTGAGAAGATTAAAAAAGTAAGTTAAGTTAGTTATTTGTCCTAAATAGGTGTTGTCTTTTCTAAAATATCCTTACTAATCAAGTGTATTGACTAGAACTATCATTGTTAGAATGCCTACTTTAGGAAAAAAATGTATAAATATGAGACAAAGTGGATTGGTGTTTTATATTTAGGATCAAAATAAAAGTCAAATAAGGTCTTATATTAAGGACCGGAGGCAGTACGAGTTACTGTTTTTAATATAAGATTTTGTTTAATTTTTATTTTGATTCTAAATATAAGATTCTAATCTATTTTATCTATCATATTTATACATTTTTTTCCAAATTAATCCTTCTAACAATGATATTTCTAGCCAATATACTTGATTAGTAAGAATATTTTAGGAAAAATAACACATATTTATTACAAATAACTAATTTAACTTCTTTCCTTAATCTCTTCAAATTAGTCAACTAGCTCTTATAATTAGGACCGGAGGTAGTATTACCTTTAATGCTTAATACTCCTCCCATACTTAATATAATACCTAATTTTTGAGTTAATTTTGGTCCTAAATATAAGATTTATTTCTTATATTTATCATTTTTTTCTAAATTACCTCTATTGATACTCTCTCAAACATAATCAAATAAAAGAGGGAGGACATATATTAGGAGTTTGTTTGATTTTTATTTTGGTACTGAATATAAAATCTTAATTCATTTTATTTCTCATATTTATTTATTTTTTTCAAAATAGTCCCTATAATAATAATAGTTCTGACTGGATACTTGATTAACAATGATATTTTAAGAAAAATAACATCTATTTATTACAAATAACTAATGTAATTAATTTTCTTAATCTACTCAAATTAATTAACTAGTTCTTATATTGGAGGTAGTACTACGCTAAATAATAAGTTACCCAATACCTTTAAATTGATCTAAGTAATTCGACTTTTATATAATAAGTGGAACAACACATTAACTTAAAATTTAAAATTTAAGGTATGATGTGTTTTATTATTTATTACTTATTTATTCTCCCTTTTCATGCTTATCATGCTTATTTGTTTTTGCTTCTTATACTGAGGCGAAATAATGCATAAATTTCAAAACCACATCATATCAAGAATTAATAATCTTATTTATAAGTAACATTATACTCCTCCGGTCTTAACATTATATTTTAAGACCGGAGCAGTATCTACTAAAAAAGTAACGTTGTTATTTATCAACAAGCATCCATTTGAGCGGTATAATGTATGGACAGGGAAACAAGCATCACACCTTTTATTTTGAAAAATGAGTTGCATTTATCTTATTAAACGATTACTGAGCTGTCAACAGCCAATGGGCTCTTGACATCACACCTATGCCGGGTTTCAACGACACCGTTTCATGCATGGCCCACGCATTAATGACGCGCCAAATTGCGTCTAATTAACTGATTCTTCAATCCGGATGAAGCGGAGGGATGGAGGATAAGCCTCATGAACAGCTACGGGGAGATTCTGGTATAGGGTTTTTGAGTATATTCTCTCATTCTTCACTATCTCCCTCTGGATATGGCTACCATTTCCACTTTCTACCCTTACAATCCCGTTCGACCTGCTTCTTCTCCGTCCTCTTTGTTTTCGAGTTTGCGCGGCTGGCATTTGGTCTCAAAATCTGCTCGTGGAAGGGGAGCACACAAGTTCGTGGTGCTTGCGGCGCATTCCAACCCTAAAGTTCTCAAGACTAATCGGAAATCGAGGTTCGGACAGACGCTATCTCCGTATGACAGCGATGAAGATGATGAAGCATTGGAGGACGATGACGAGGATGATGATGTGCTAGTTGATTGGCTATCTGATGTAAGTTTCTTCGTCAGTTCCTGATTTTTTTGAGCTATTGTTAGCAGTTGTTTGCTCTGTTGGGAGCAATTTATGTCCTGTTGGGAAATGGGTTTACTTTACATTTTTACTTCATGATATTTGAACATTCCTGTTGGGAAATGGGTTTACTTTACATTTTTACTTCATGATATTTGAACATTCTTTCTTTTAGCTCATCCCTGCTTTCGATGAATTCTTCTCAAAAAAAAGTATAGTCTCTTGTTTCCTGTGAGAAATCGGTTGTTTTTTTGACTGAGTTTATCTTTATGCTTCTGTTTTGGTGAATTATTCAGTTTCTTTTGGCAGATGTTTATATCTCTGCTCTCTGTGCTTTCCTATGATACATGGCTATTGGAGGTTTTTCAGTTTTTATGTCTGTTTCTTATTTGTTATCTAGTAGCGCAGTGAGTGTTTTGATATTCACGAGATGCATTTTGATTTTCATATTTGAAAATAGCGTCAGTAATGTTGCGTATCGACTTTGCAATAAAACTATTTGCAGTTGTGGACAGTTCTATTTCTTTAGTCACCGTATATGAATTTACTATATGAATTCTTCAAATAGGTGCCATCTTATTATTAAAGGAAGATTTCAACAAGTTGTGCATAGTTACAGCCCTGCTTATTCATTATACGTGAATTTGCTTTATTCTAGGTTTTTGTTTTTCGTTTTTCGTCATGGAGAAGCTATGCACTTTAGTTATGATGCTGTGTCTGTCTGCCAGTGGCATGCTTGTAACTTTATTTTCAACAGTTCGTTAGATTTCGCTTTGCTGAAAACACAGCTGTTTCCATTGTGGAATTCAGGAAGAATTTGCAGAGCCTGCTGACTTTAATTCTAATGACAAGAAATTTAAGTCACAGAAGATTGAAGGTATGCTTTATTTGAATATTATTATTTTGTTTTAAGTGAAAATTAAATACTGCGTGTCCTGTCTGCAACTCTGTGCAGTAAAAGGTAGGCGACAGGAAAAAGGATGGGATGCAAGATCATTTGAAAGCCCTAAAATGTTAAAAAGTGAGCAAGTGATATCCTTTGAACCAAATGGCAGTGTAAAGGTACAGAGATGTGATAAGCTGTAAGTGACAATGTCCATTTAATGTACAACTGAAGCTGAGGAACCCCATATTCTTTGTGTAACTGCAGGCTGGTAGAAATTTAAGGGAGAACAGATATCCTCGATTGTCTGAAGAGATAAATTTGGACAAGAAATGGATTCCGCTTCTGGACTATTTAAGCACATTTGGAATGAAGGAGTCGCACTTTATCCAAATGTATGAAAGGCACATGTCCTCACTTCAAATTAATGTATGTTCTGCACAGGAAAGGGTAGAATACTTAATGAGTGTTGGAGTCAAGCATAGAGATGTAAGAAGAATCATTTTGAGACAGCCACAAATTCTGGAGTATACAGTGGAGAAAAATTTGAAGGCCCATGTTGCATTTTTGATGGGTTTGGGAATACCAACTTCCAGAGTAGGGCAAATCATTGCTGCTGCTCCATCCCTGTTTTCTTATAGTGTTGAAAATTCTTTAAAACCAACAGTAAGATATTTAGTTGAGGAAGTTGGCATCAAGGAAAAGGATCTGAGTAAAGTCATTCAACTGAGCCCACAAATTCTAGTTCAGCGTATTGACATTTCCTGGAATATTCGGTATATGTTTCTAACCAAAGAGTTGGGAGCACCCAGAGATAGCGTAGTGAAGATGGTGACAAAACATCCTCAACTTCTCCATTATAGCATTGATGATGGATTGCTGCCTAGGATTAACTTTCTGAGGAGCATAGGAATGAGAAATTCAGACATCCTGAAAGTCATAACTAGTCTTACTCAGGTCATGCTTTGATTTAAAAGTACTCTGCTTTTTTTGTTGCAAACCCCCACTCTTTTGTTTTATTTTAGACTGTTTTTGGTGGAAAATACCTGGAACATGAAAGAATGTTATTAGATAGTCATTATTGTCATCAATATCGTTTTATGTTTCTTTGCTATAATGCCAAAATAACTTAGCTCTTTCATTGATTTCTGCTTCTACAGGTCCTTTCCCTGTCCCTGGAGGAGAATCTAAAGCCCAAGTACTTGTATCTGGTAAATGAACTTCAGAATGAGGTTCAATCCTTGACCAAATATCCAATGTACCTTAGCTTGTCGTTGGACCAGAGAATACGTCCTCGTCATAGGTTCTTGGTTTCTCTGAAGAAAGCTCCAAAAGGACCATTCCCCCTTGGATCACTGGTCCCAACTGATGAATGCTTCTGTCAGCAGTGGGCGGGGACTAGTTTGGACAAGTATTTGGCTTTTCGCCAGAGGCTTTTACTCAAGAAATTTGCTGAAAAATATGAAAAATCAAAATAAAATGTGTTGGTCCACTTACATGAGTACTGGAAGAGCAGTCTTATGTAAGCTATAACATCAGAAAACCTAAAGTTGTTGATATAATTGTCCATGATGGTTGCCGTTGTGGCTGAAGCTCAATCACTTTAGTTCATTTAGCAATATCTTATGCTTCTCTGCACTGATCTTTCAAGACGTTCAAATTTCTGTCGAATCTTCACCAAAGCGGTTCAACTTCTGTAAGAGTTGACTATTATTGTTCATGTCAAAGTCAGATGGTTCTTTACGAAGTTCTTGTGATCAGAAAGGCAGAACACATGATGTTGAGGTCTGTCATCTTAAGACGAGCATCTTTAATAGCTCATACATTAGATATGCTCTGTGAGTTGACCTCCAACTCATCGCAGGTTGTGAACAATACTGTAAGCAAGCTGTCAAAATCAAAGAAGTAAGCTGTTGTAACTTAAAGATCCTTCTTACGGTTGCTGTGGTTGTTACGTCCTCTTTTTCCTTTTTACAGGCAGTAATGCCCTCTATTAATTTTTTCCCTTTCATTCTTTTGTATATCTCGTATAG